TTCGACGATAACATTCGTCAAGATATGAAGGAATCTCCATGGTGTTAAGCGACATATTTCGAAATGTATAATCAACGAACGTTGTTATAGTTTCCCGTTTTTGCAGCGTGCGTTTAGAATCCTCTAACAAGGAAGTGGACTATCGTTTCTAATCGCAGGCAAATGATATCAGGATGGCACAGCACTGTCGCACTTCCGGTTTATAAAGCAGCTGGAGTTTCATGATTGAATCGCAATGTTTTTTCCGAGATGTCGTAATATTTCCCGTTATTTACGTAAGAAATACGAGTGTTTTTTTTTTTTTTTTTATCAATATCTAATTAGTAAGATTTTTAATCTTTTGATAAATTTTTATACGACTTATACTAATTTTCAACAAAATTTATATCACAATTAAAAATTGATTGAAAAATATAAAGATAAATTTAATTCATATTGCTAGATTGAAAAATTTAGTTCAAAAATATTATAACTATTTATGATCTTATTTGTATATCTTTGAAAAGTAGAGATAATGAAATTTGTGCTTTGATTTATAATATTATAATAATGTACAACAATTCTGTTCTAAAATAATATTTAAATATAGCGTTTTGAAATTTAATCTAAAAAAAATCAATGTCATTTTATGGAATTATATGTAAATTTGAATCTGGGTTTGTTGTGAATCGGTATCTCCGCCAATGGGCCTAGTTACCGACATTTTCAGTTCCTTCTTCGACCACTACTTGTCGCTACTGTCGCAAAATTCCAAAGCAATATTTCTATTTATTATAACAATTTTTTTTTTACTTGTCATATAATAATCACACTCAATCTATAATTTTTCAAAATCAATTTAACTATTCAAAAGAATGATATATTTTTTTTTAACCATAATCAAACAGTTTATAGACAGCTAATTGATACAATCTATTTAATGAATATATATATCATGTATTATAAGGATAATTTAAAAAATTTAAATTATTCTTCATTAAATTAAATTTATGATAGAAATAAAATTATCAATATTTGTAGGAACATTGTCTGCTATTATGTATATAAATTCTCACGGTAGTAAGTCGATAATAAAATCGAGGTCACTTCCGGCTTTCATCCCCGAGACCTTTTTAAACGTAAAACGTAATTCTATAAAAATTGAACAATCAATGTTTTTAATACCGTCATTTTAATTGTTTATATGACGATAAATATATTTCCATATTAAAATCAAATAAGCATAATTGTTAACATACGTGTGAAATATTTTCTGTATAATTGAACAATTCCGCAAACGAAGCTATACTTTTGCAATTATTGCATCAAGTGATGAGATGTGCAAGATAAGCAACATTGCGGCATTATTAAAGGTAGCAATAATGTTTAAAAAAACATATATAAAAACTAATGTATTTCATAAAGTATTTTCGATAAAGTATCACGTTATTTTATTTGTTATTTCAATAATGCATTTGTGCTCTTTCTTTTATAGAAAATCGATATTGGAATTTAAGAAATTCTTCGGATTGTATTGGACGGGTTTACGAACAGGGTACTCTCATTCAAGAATGAACGTCGAAATGTGAGCGTATCGTCTAAAAATACTGTTGGTGGGCCGAGGTGCGCCTAGCAACAGAGATTGCATAGAAGCATAACTATAGTGAACGTGCGTGTTTATACGTCGAGGCACAACGAGGACATGAGTTACGGAAAAAAGGAGCCAGACAAACAAACCTGTTCGTTTCTATTAAACGATTTTCGAAATTTCAGCGATGCATATTGGGTCAAATGCACGTGTATACGTTCGTACAAGAGTCATTATTTCGCTCAAATTAAAATTAAACATATAGAGATAAATGATTTAATAATTTAATTCATAGAATCGGTATTAAAAATTAAATATAAAAAATTAATCAAATATATTACTAAAGATAAATTTATTTTTTATATAGAAAAAAAATGTTACAATAAAGAGCAACACATTATACATATCTTCATATTCAAAACACAAAACGAATATTACATATATTCAAATATTTAAGAGAGTATGGATTGTAGAAAAATTCGGACATCATTCTTTAAAGCATTTTCTAAAAAGATTTTAAAAAAAAGTTTTAAATAAGATACATTCTTTGAATAAAAAAAAAAAAAATTTTATAAAAAATTTTTCTCACATGTTTGTAAAAATTTAAGAAAACACCAATGCTAATCTGTTATTTGAATCTTCAATTTTTCATTGATTATTTGTATCCAACCAAAGAAAAATTCTGATTCACTTGAAGAAATTCTTGCATAATCCTCTGACCTCGATTTCATATTCACGCGACGATCCAATAACTCAAATTGAAATCAAATGTTCTATTCCGACCATCGTTCAATGCATTGTTCTCATTCGATATATTTATAATCGGAAATGTAATTAAAAATCGCGCCAAGAAATCATAGAGTCGCATGTGAATTAAGATGTTCAATTAGAAAATACAAGCCAAAAGTGCTGTATGCACTTTGTATTCAATATGCGCAGACTTTGTATCAACATCCTCTGTTCGGTGTTAATTTACTTGCAAATTTGACCACGCGAGGCGACCGCGCTGTTTGCATTTCACGTTCATAACCATCAATTTAAAATTTATGTGGCAAATTATTTTTCTTTCTTACCTCGATGTAAATCAAGTTTCCGTTTATCAAAATTTAAATCTTTCGCAATATATACCATTTTAAAAATGAAATTGAAATAAAGTCAAAATGTCAAATATCACTTACCCAAGAGGTAAGTATTACATACGCAGGCCCAGAAGCACCTGCTTAGTCAGCTTCGCGTACTCTGTTGCATACAGCTTCCGTTGCACCTGCACCTGTCTCAATTTTTCACAACGAACTAATTTTCTATGTTTCTATGCAGCGTAGGGAGATTGGAGTGGGAGATTCAAGAGGTTCTAGGATGCGTTGCGCTCTGCTGTAAAAAGATGATACATTTGAGAAGGAATATTGAAATGTTAGGTTAAGTAATATAAAGAGAGTACAAAAAGATATTTTAATAACGTGGGTGAATGAAATGGGTGGGATATAGAGAACAAAAATTTGAGTGCAATTTACTTTCATGTATCATCACCTTCGAGTAACGACTACCCAGTAAATATATATATATATATATGCAATAAGATATGGATATTAGGCTTGTAAAAAAAAAGATACTATAAGGTTTTTCAGATAAATCTTTTTTTAATAAACATAGGCATTCACTTATGTAGGTTAGTTTTTTTTTTTTTTAGACTCTCTTATGATTATAGTTTATATAATATTGTCGTTACACATAGAATTCTTACATGAATACCAACTGAAAGTGAGGCACTGGGTATTTCTGCTCACCCTTTTTATTCTAACATTCACCCACGCAAACAAACATTGTACACACGTGCTCAAACATATGCAACCTTTCACACTTTTTTTTACTGGGACGTTACGTCATGTGTGAAACGCATAATACATCTATACTTATTACAAATAAGAAGTACACGCTAAGTTATGTTTACTGAGATCATACTAATACATCACAGGGTTACATAGACATAAGATTTATTCTCTTTTACTATTTTTTTTCGTTTCTTTCTTTACGGCAGACTACTTTCTTCTCCTTACATCGTGATCCTCCTCCTTTCTCTCTCTCTCTCTCTCTCTTTTTCTCTCAGATCTGACGAGATTCCATAGTCATTCGTCGCTTCTTTTTTCACATCGATAGAAAAAGAGAACATAATTTTTCGTGCACATAGTCTGCCGTTAATCATCGTTTTGTTTCGATAATTCGTCACGATCTTCACGTGCTTATCCGTATGAGTAGTCAGCATATTAAAAGCTTTTTATCGACAAGAAACAATATTTAAACGCGTTTTCGTATGAAAATGTTTTACGTCAATTTGATTTCTTACCGCGAAGCTCTCATAGTGTACGAGTATCGTAGCCATGAAAGCGCCATTGAAACATCGAATACAGAGTAACCGGTATGAAAAACGACCATTAGAATTCCACAAAGAATCAATTCTTCACCACTCATAGCGCACTTCGCGAGTGAACTACGAAAAAAATAGCTTGTAACCACCAGTCGTATTTTTGAATTATAATCTCAAAGTGGGAAAAAAAGAGTGAACGGAAAACAAAGTGTACCGGGAATGGGAGATACGATTGAGGGAGATTACTTCATAGGATGGCGTTAAACCAAATTATCATAAACAAAAAGAAACTTGTAATAAACAGCTACCATTATAAAATCAATATACCATTTAAGATATACAAATTACATTTACATTAATATTACGTTTTGCGTAAATTCATCCGCGATGAAGAAAGTAACGTAGAAAAGTTTTGGTTCGTAAATCATATTGTACGTCAAAACCTCGTACTTTCGTTAACACGGTATAAGACGATTCGAATACAAGTTGCATAATTTTTCAAGAACCGTTTAAAGACCTCCACAAGGTTTGTACTCAAATATAATAATTTCGAATATATTTTATTCGATATATATATATATGATGAAATTTCAGAAAATATAACTTTTTATACATTTCTATATTATAAAGTCGGAGTACGTCTTTTAACGGCTTTGATCACGCCACACCACCAATATCTAAAGTCTGATTGTAAAATATTTAAAATGTGAGAATTATTCGTGATGATTTGTACAAACATGAATTATGATAGAAAAATACAAAACTTTATAAAAAAAAAAAAAAAAAAAAAAA